TCTGGTACTCTAGTATGTGAAGGACCTCTGTCCCAATGCCATAGACCACCAGAGTCACCAGAGACCGCAAACCCATAGCAAGAATGTTCTCAAGGAAGCCCCAGGCAAGCACGGGGTCCGCACCGTTAGGGAGCTCTCTTCTGTCTGGTCGAACATAATGTTCGCTGAAGAAGGCGCTGTTGTTGCTGTAGCCTGCGCTCGGAACTGCTTGGAGGCCCTCAAGCCTTTTACAGCAAACCCTCAACCCTCAACCCTCAACCCTCAACCCTAAACCGAAAAGATGAAGCCTCGAACACACCACGAACTCAAGTCGGACTCGAAATCGCCCTCAGATGCGGATTCGCCCCAGCTGTGCAGGAGGGGCAAAAAACAGAAACCCTAAACCCTAAACCCTAAACCCCTGCAGATGGGAGTTCAGTGTGTAGCGATCATCTCTGAGGGTTGTCGAGGCTGTAGGCCGGTATGGGCTCTCTGTTTCTTAGGGTTTTACTGTTTAGGGTTTAGGGTCTAGGGTCTAGGGTTTAGGGTTTCGGGTTTAGGGTTTCGGGTTTAGGGTTTTTTGCTTCGGGTTTGGGGTTTCGGCACCCACAGAGCTGGACGAACCACTCCGCAGGGATTCCAAGGGGTTTGGGGTTCAGGGTTCAGGGTTTAGTTGCCGTGTTTTACTATTGTCAAGGGCCTAGGGTTTAGGGTTTAGGGTTTCTGACGTCTGCATCGCAGGGTTTTTGGGCTTTGGCACGTTCTGAGGCAAGGCCCCGAGGTGCCCAAAAAAACAAGACAACCGTGGGCCCGCAACGAGCCAGAAAAAACACAAAGCCAGTGGTTTGTGGTTTTGGGGATAGGGTTTAGGGTTTTAGGGTATAGGGTTTTAGGGTTTAGGGTGTAGGGTTTTAGGGTTGTGGGGTTTAGGGCCTTTTTTTCGCCGCCTGCAGAGCTGGAGGAACCACCTCACTGTCCCGGTACCAGCTCTTGGAGGCACCTCCCTGCCCTCACCCTTACTCTGACATGTCGAATACCTTCGTCCGAGAATACGACAAACCCTAAACCCTAAACCCTAAACCCTTACACAGCATCCCCAAAGCCCGAAAACGATGGTTCTTTGAGAGAATGCAGGGGAAGGCAGCTGGTTGACATCAACACAGCCGCGAACATCCGAGAATGTAAGCAAAAAACATGGTCTGAGAATCACACGGACAGTTCTCTAAATTGTGGTCCCGTTTTGGGAACCTGAACAAGAAGGGTCGCCTTATAAGAAGGATCCCAAAAGGCACCATATTCAAGAGAAGTCCACATAGGAGAAAGTGCAGCCCGGCGTTTGTCTGACGTTTGCGCTAAAGAGACCAGCTTGATCCTGGAGTTCATGAAAGTAAAGTGTCCAAGCCGGATCAGCAGGAGGCTTGGATTCCTGGTGCCCGGGCAAATCATGCCCCAATTCCGCGTGAAGTTGCAGGTGGCAGTGTAATGCGCACCATCCCAAAGAAGTTGGCTACTGCACTTGCTTGCAGTGCCTGCATCAACTGCAAGCCCCACAAGTCCTCGCAATTTCGGTCCGAACCCCACAGCCGATGGACGAAATCCAGCTATGTGCCATAATTAGTTGGGGCGTCGATGCTTAAAAACTTCACAAGGGTGATCGAGGGCCCTCCGACTCTGCAGCTGAAGCCCTTTAACAGCAGCAACCAATTCCGAAATCGCCGGCTACTCTCAAGACCCTCACATGCATTCAGCACAACTCTGTTGAACCACACAGCTTCCATCAGCATCCTCCCTTCTGCCTTCTTGAACCTGGATCTCCCAAAGAGGCTGAGCGTGCCAGTGCCTTTGGCTCGCTTGTCTGACCCGTGGGCTTTTGAGTTCGGTCCCTAAACCCTAAACCCTAAACCCTAAACCCTAAACCCTAAACCCTAAACCCTAAACCCTAAACCCTAAACCCTAAACCCTAAACAACAAATTCTGGTGGATGTGGGGCTGTTGATTGCGGGCGCCAAGGGGCTGGTACTCAGGACATGCTCAACTGAGGCTCGCGGTGCGAGAATCAAGGAGAAACAACTTGAGTACGGCTGTCGCAACAGACTTGGTGGTTGATAGTAGGGAATACTACATAGGATTCCTTAAGGGGTTACATCGGAAGATATTAAAAGAAAGTGCCTAAGTCTCTACTAAGAACTATCCAGCTGGCTGAGACCCGAAGCTTCTGGCAGGACACCTAAAACCTCAAAGCCCTCAAAGCACCAACCTACTAGTTGCTTAAGAACCCCCCCCCCCCCAACAAAACATATATGAAAACATACAAGAGAAAAATCCCTATATCACCCCTAATAAGGAAGGATCTATAAGATTTTATTTTTGGGGGGGTTCTGAAGCAAAAAGGAGCAACTACCTGGAGGACCGACTCAGCTGCTTTGAGAACCCGTTGTCCCGAAGCCCGACAGCGAACCCGAACATTTTCTTCAAATGTGCCCTGACCCCTGAACCCCAACAAAGCCGCGATAGCAAAAGCCACCAGACTACCTCGGAACCCCGAGAGCCCGGAAAAAACAAACTTAACTCCCCAACTTCCAACAAACAGCTCTGGGGGTGGTGCCGCTGGGCCCTCGTTCTAGCTCTTGATTCTCCGAAGAACGACCTTTTGAAGAGTCAGGGTTGAGGGATCCCGGCTTTATGTGAAGATTGGCAAGTCGAGCTTGAAAAATAGCACGCGCACGAAAACAATCTCGACAGATGCAATCGCGAGGACAATCACCGATCAAACTTTGAAGCACAGGGGCCAGTGCTCCAGGTCTGGCGCCCTGTTGGGGCGTGGGCTTGCTCAAAGAGCCTTCAACCCACACAACCACAACCCACACAACCCACACAACCCACACAACCCACACAACCCACACAACCCACACAACCCACACAACCCACACAACCCACACAACCCACACAACCCACACAACCCACACAACCCACACAACCCACACAACCCACACCCCCACGAAATGCATCTTCGGACCTTTCGCGGAACTGCAGTGCGCCTAAGAGCGGGCACCTCTGTACCCTACATCCGCTACAGCCCGAAAAGAGTTTGTCTGCGAGTGTGTGTAGTCAGTGAGCGGGGTGAGGGTAACCCTAAACCCTAAACCCTAAACCTTAATTCACTCATGGCTTTGGTTTGGGGGTTAGGCTCCGGATCGAAGAGTTCAGGATTGAAGGGTCCGGGGATGGGTCCTTCTGGGGAGACGTCAGACTTGCGCGGAACTTTCACCTAAGCCCTAAACCCTTTTCGGCAAACCCTAAACCCTAAACCTTGAACCCTGCACCCTAAACCCTCCGCAGCCGGGCTCCGGGCGCTTCTCGACCTCTCCCATAACCACACAGGGGCTAGGATTTTCAAGTTCAGGGACAAAAAACACGGGGGAGCCCGAGTGCGGAAAGATGTGATCTGCGAAGTTCGGTGACTTTGTGTTCTCGCCGGAATGCTTAAGTAGGGAGGCAAGGGTTTGTACCGCACAAGTAAGGTAGAATCGACTGGGAGAGAAACCCTCAAGCCAAATTTGGGATGAAAAGTCGACCTCAAAACTGAACATATCTGGTCCTTGAAGTGGCACCTAGAAAAATCTAAACCTGGAGCCCCGATATCCGCCTTCCAGTTCAGAGCGCCCAGCAGACACAAAGGCGTGAACCCTAAACCCACCCTAAACCCTACCCTATAAGCCCTAAACCCTAAACCCAGATTGCTGTCTGGAGTCTTGGGAGCCTGAGCCTATTGTGGAGCACGATGCCCCCAAGACCGTAAGCCCATGAGGGCCCTGCATGTGGGCCTTAATGTAGGGGTCGGAATAACTACTATTCTCCCCTTACAACTATACTATAATGACCCCCGAAAACCCTATTCGAAAATTAGGTCTTTATAGTAGGTGGTCGGCTAGAGCCACCTCGTCAGGGACTAGGGTTGAGGGTTTCGGGTTTAGGGCTTAGGGATCCGAAAAAACTCAGCATTTCCCGAAGCCCCAACCCAGTGCCAGTTGCTGGCCTCCGGGGCCAGTGTCGCCGTTGCGACGCTCCGCAGAACCTGCATCGCAGGTTAAGCTTGAAAAGAAGAACACCCGCACTCTCTCTCTCTCTCTCACATAAACAACAAAGGACAGGCGTGCTGACAATTCCACAGAACGGCCTTTTTTCGCACTTCGAACACCTTTGGAATCCGACGTCTCCAGTGTGTGGGCAAGGCTGGGCTCCAGGCACACAGCACTTCCACGTGCAAGACATACCTGCGGTAGCTGTGGAGCATTCGAATCACCACCCTCAATCTACCGTCGTCCCCGAGAGATCTGACATCCCACATACTGAAACAGCAACTTCTTAAAACAACACTGCAGAAGAGCCTGGACCTCCAGCAAGATTAAGGCCCCATTGTATGTTGGGTACAGGTCATCGAGCAAAGCCACGTCTTTCTAGAGGGACAATAAAGGGAACATAAGGGAATACTCAGAGTAATTCTTCCACCCCTACATTACGGCCTTTTTTCGAACCGCAGGGTCGCGGGCCAGGACTGCCTGAATCCTACGCGCCCAGCGACTGGTAGTCGCTGTCTTGCCTGGCCCTGGCTCGCTGAGTTCTCTGGCGCAGCGTGAGGCAAACGATCAGCGGAACAACGACGGCGACCATGAAGGACATGATCATCAAGACCTGCAATTCAAGCGATTCGGGTGTTAGAAGTCCTTGTGTAAATCCTCGAAATTCTAAACTTGACTGCCTTCCGACCGTCATTCCAATCTTCCGCAAATCTGCCTTCGTGTTTCATGTCGTGCTAGGGCTCCTCTTGCTGTAGCATCTTTCCATGCTGCTCATGCCCTGGAGCCCCCAACAGTCATCCAATAACACCTCCCCTTGCCCCCCAAAGCACAGCTAGGTTCCACAAATGCGCTGAAGCCGGACAGGAACACTGCAAACCTGTTGACAGCAGCAGCAGCGGCAAGTGTTGGGAAAGTCCAGTGCCTGCCTCTGCAATGGCGATC